AATACATATTTTACGCGTAATTCGCAATATAATATCATCATGGGTACCTGTCGCTTAAATCCAAAAAAGTTTTTATCCCTAAAATTCCCTTTCTCTATAAGGGAACGTCACAATGAATTGAGATAGTACATAAAGAACTTAAGCCTATAGTGGCCTAAGTTTACAGTTTCTACGACATAATACCAAAGAGCTTAGTACTTTAATAAATACATACACAACGTACCTATTTTAAATAGTTTTCATATATGTATAATATTTATATTTTATCAATGTCATACCGAAGATAAAAAATAATATACTATAAATTAATCGATTTAAACTTTAATAGGTTGTAGTAAATAATCCATTCAATTAAAAAGGAAATTGAAAGCATCGCTACCGTTAACAGTTACTTACAAAAGATACAATTACCTTCACAAAATGGCTCCTAATTCAAAAAGTAAACATTAATCACAAATAAACTACTATCATATAATTGACTGCCTATTTCCCAATTATTCTAACAAAGAGATTATTACCAGCCAATTGATCTTTCACCCGTCCCTATCCAACCGACAGAAATTAATACATCTTTCTCCCTTTAAAAATTGCAACTAGCAACCCCAATTTGTCGTGTCCCCCATCTCTTTCTCTCGCGTAATGTCCTCCCGTTCTCGCGCTAATGGTTCGACAATAAAGTAATATACAGATAAATAGCTTTCCGCTTAAATTTTGGCCCAATTCACATTGTACCCCATAATTGCGTATCTCCCCTTGGCATCTGTCCCGTTCTGGCACGCTGCTCTTTATATAGCTTGTCCCGTTTCCCCCGTAATCCGTTGGGAGTATAATCGCGTATATAAGTACTTAATCGCATTTGGGGCCTGAATGACACCCCTATATTTATTCAGTGTATTGCTATGGCCCCTTCTATCTTGTTTGTGGAGACTTAACACGTTTATAGGACCAGTGTTGTCAGAACTCTTATTAAGAGCGATTTTATTCTAACGGTGTACTATTTTAAATTGGACGCTAGTGGCAGATGCGAGGGTTGTTTATTGTTGCCATATAACGAAATTTGAGCCATTAAATTTGCATGAAAAGGTTATAATTGTTTAATAGCTTGTTAAGAATTTTCAAATGTTTTCAGAATTTTAATAGGGTTTGTTTAGTTTAATTGCTAAGAAATAATAATATGAGACAGTGCTGGCCTACTGATTTGAATGCGACTAAATCCCTGAAGATTTTGGTTCGATCCCCGACCGTGCAATAATGGACTTTTCTTTCTATATGCGCATTTCATACTCACTCGGACGATGAAGAAAAACATCATGCCGAAACCGGACGGCATAGACTCAAAACTAGAACGTGTTACGCACAGAAGGCTGATCGATACGATTAATCAGATACAGAAGTCTGTGGCCAAAACCAAGAGTTCCAGAGATACTGGTTTTTCTCAACCTACACTCTTAGTACTTGAAGTAATGTTGCCTGACAAATCATGTCTAGAAAGTATATCATAATTTAAATAATAAATTATTAAATATTTACTATTACTAATTGCATTTGTAATAGTAAATATTTAATAATCTACAAACCTACAAGTTTTATAATCCTAACTGTTACTATACTAGTGTTAGGTTATTAGAACGATTTAGAAATATATAATTGTTTTACACAAATATCAGTCAACATTTATTGTGAGAAAATTACGAAACGCACCTTAAATTAAAGCAAATCATTGTCAACCCGCATAATCACTATAACTTAATTAACCTATAACCTCAGAGCAATTTTCGAAAACGCTACAAATCCCAATTCCCCATTAACCGTGTAGCTATCCCCCAGGAACATTTGTCAAATGGCGGTCGTTTGTACCCGCCCCATGGGAAAGCTAACCCTTTGAATGATAATAGCTTGGAAATTTGTACTAGACTGCATGATTGAGGAGTTTTCCTGTTATTTATTTCATCTTTCATATACAAGTCGAAATAAGTCTTGAATGGCTGTCAGATTTTACGTAACGTCACGGTTAGTACGCAATTCAACTTCTGCATTCGTTCCTGGACTTTAGACTAATGATAAGATTTCGTAGCGTAGCTTTTCCACAACTGAGCGTTTATTGTGGCAGTTTTTGCCGCGCACCACCACTATGTATAACCAGCTGCCCACAGATGTATTTCCGAACCAACTCGACTTAGGGTCCTTCTAGAAAAGAGCGTACCAAATTTTAAAAAGCCGGCAACGCACATGCGAGCCCTCTGTCAATGTGTCTATCGGCGGCGATATCACTTAACATCAAGTGAGCCTCCTGCACCGTTTGCCTCCTGTAACATAAAAAATAGCTTATACTCAAGTATGTCAAAAATGAATTAAATTTTGACAGATGGGAATTGGTCTTGCCTGATATAATAAAGGTAAAGCACCCGTACTTGCTGGCTTCCCTGTTAAATTTGAACAATTGCAAATTTACACTATTTAGCAACCACAAAGACTAGAATTTAATACGATAGAGACATAGTAGCAACTTGAAATCGAATAAGTCATTACAACAATTCCTTACTACTCTGTATTTAACAGTCATAAAACTTGAAACACAATTTAAACGTGTGAAACACATAATTTCCTTAAATCTTTGTGTTACATTGTTAATAAAGGATTATGGAGTTAACTGGCTTTTATTGTCTGCAAATGATAGGCTTCGTGTCATTATGTAATATTGGTGAGGTAACTAATGTTTATGGCTTAGAAATCAGTACTTATGTCTAAAATATTTCTCTATTTATAATGAGACAAAGATAGGTTTCCAATCTGTGTTTTAATACGACAAAGACAAACTTTCTAGGCATTTTTGTTTAAGTAACGTTGTAACCTCTTTCGTATATGATATAACCTTACTTTTTGATGTTGTAAATCTTGCAAAAACTCTTGTAGAAATTTCATGTATGAAATATTGTTTGCGTTGTTACAAATTATTTCTTTATTGATTATTGCCTTAATTCCCCCAATATAGAAGTTTCCTACTGCACATCAAAAATATCCCACTTTAAGTTTATTTACTAAACATTAACTAACATCTTATGTATATGTCATGGATTTAAATGTTAGTAGACGTTTCATCAAATTTAAGTACTTATATTTTTTAAATAATTTCTCAAGAGTTCTCCAAACCCAAATGTTCGGAATTCTTTATCTTCTATCTCGTTCACACGATGTCCCTCTCTGTCACGCACCATTACCCAAACATGGGGTGTCCACCAAATTGATATTTGATGTCAATATATGAAGTGCTAATGTACCGTGACAGAGTCTTTGTAATCTAATTTTAAGGGATAATCTGCCCCTATCAGTATTCTGGTCATGGTTCATGCAGTTCCAATAAACCCCGCTGTGAATGTCCAATGTCTAATGACAACAGATATTTCTCCTGGTTTTATCCGATAGTGGGCAGAATTAAGATTTATTCTTACTATAATAATATAATCTAAATTCAAAAGTGGTATTATCATTATGTTACTGGTATTCGTTGGTCTAATCATCGTGAGTCTGTGCGAAAAGAGAACCGTTGTGGGATTTAAGGTCGCTGCACTACTAAACTATTTTTGTTATGTTGACAACACTTTAACATCAATAGACCAGCCAAAGGACTTGTATCCATGGTCATAAGACATTTGTCATGTGTATTCGACAGTTATAATCTTCATATTTATTATTAAAAAGTTATGTAATATTTGTGATTAAATGAAATGACGCGTAGCAACTAAAAATTATATAAGTTCACAATACTGCCATGCTCGTTCTCTTTCTGCATAGACAATTTAATTTAAATTAAGGCAAAGTTTGTTGTGTTAGTTACTTGTCTGTCTATGTAAGTCTATTGCGAGTCTAGAGTCATATTCTTCGAGTGAGTACATTAACATTTCGTTTTGTAATATTACAATAAGAAATATTTCAAACCAAATATATTCCTATTAAGACACAGTAGGAATAGAAATTAATTTATTGAAGGACCGAAGAAAAGTTTTATATAGGTGATGTTACTTATCAGGTAACATTGTTAGTTGTCGGAAAAAAATAAATTTAATGTACAATAACTTCCTAGCAACCAATCACATTAACCGTACAAAAGCAATAATTTATGGTTCGCGAAACATATCAAAAACAAATAAAATTTTATTTATCGATGTTTGAAAATGTACACAATCACTTTTAAAGTTATTGAATGTACATTTATATAATTGAATTTATACCTAATCATATTATATTTCAACAATATTAGTTCACACATTATTTTTTAGATACATACATAAAGCATTAAGAAATTTGGCGTCAAGAATTCAATAAAGCCCCGCGAATGTCGTTCTAACTAGGGTTCGAAATGATATTTTAATAGTGAATATAACTGTGAATATTAGACTAGTTGAATAGTGAATATAATTATGTGTAGACTTAAAATTTTTCAAATGATTTCAAGTAAAAATAAAACAAAGATTTACCCATTAGTAGTTACCCATTTAGTAGTTAAGCTGTCACCCACAATCTTTACAATACCCAAATGGTGCAGTTAAATTGTACATTGCCAGCGAATTCACAAAATTACCATATTTCCTTAAAACTCGGTACAAAGTTAACTGGCAGCACCGTGCATAGATTTCACAAGCCATTAAACGCGTGACAAATTGTTTGACAAGATGGCGGATTGTATTTTTGCGCGGGAAATCTGCTTTGTGTTCGAATAGTTTTCTTTGAATGGAGTTTTTGATATATGGGGGTTTCGATAGTTATTTCAACCCTTTATAGCCGCTCAGTTTACTGTGAATGATTTATTATTTTATATTACTCTTGGCTTTTACAAAATGTTTATGTATACAACACCTACCGATAGCTTTTTAAATATAGGTTATAGTTAATTTTCATAGTGGCATAATAGCAGTCATCTCTTGACTTGAATTATTTTCTTACGCTTCCTTATTTGTACCATTGGTTCAAGCCCTTATTAAATACTGTATCGTTTTTCCCAGGTAAAAGTGTGGTTCCAAAACAGAAGAACAAAGCATAAAAGAATGCAGCAAGAAGAAGAAGCAAAGACTGGCAAGTCTAGTTCCTCTGGCAACAAGCCTGATGAGCATTTCAACAACTCATACGATGAAGATGAAGAACTAATAGATATGGACATGGATGACCTTAGTGAAAGTGAAAATGAAACGTAAAGTGAAATGAACACTAGAGACTTGTAAATATGGTTGTAAATTAATTGTATCGTAGATAAAACAATTCTACTTATTTATTAATTGGATAGTTTTTTAAAGACTCGAAAATGGTAACCGTTCGAACCTATTATTTTATTGTGTAATGGTCACGCGCGCAGATCCTATAGCGCTGTATCTTTATGACCTTTTTATGGAACTAATGAAAAATTCCATTAAAATAATTTTAATATTTACTACGTGTTAAATATGCGCGTACATAAATATATGTAAAAGTTTATCTTTTACAACTTATAAAATATGTACCAGCATATTTTTTATTTAAATATATCATTTATTATAACATCTATAAATGCTAGCCATTATTTTTTCTAGAAGTATAAGTTAAAATATACCTAAACCTTACCTAAACTACCTTAACAGTATTCGTGCTGGACCACAATATGAAATGAAATTGATAATATATCTATAATTTTGTATCTAACGACTCTATTGATTTCATAATATTATATAGCGGTTATAAATGAATTAAATTATAATAACATTCATAAATCGATATAAATTCCAAATAAATCACACTTCACTAAGCGTCATAGACTTAAAGCATGTCATTAAACTACAAAATGGCCTCTTGTTAGCGCGTCAGAATTATTAGATAAAGAAATTGGCCGCATTATAATAGTTTTGGGATTAAATTAATTAAAAATGCCTCCTTTGATGCGTTCAATGATGTGGGTTTAATTAGACAGTTTGATTTTTAACGCTGATAGTTGGTAGAGAGAGAGGGCATGAAATGTCAAAATGGTAGAGCGGGAAACCATAAACTATAGATGGAGGCGATTAAGTGCGTCGTTTGTGGGCCTATTATTAAGAGGTGCGTTCAGAAATGGTATCAAGGTTTGGGATCACGTTCGGTAATTGCTCGCGACGAAATAAAATTGTTTATAAGCTGTTGATAGCTAGTTCGGTTATTTGTCCAAGAGCCTGATAAATATCGTTACTTTCACGCGTGTGATACTATTGTCTTTGGTAGATGAATTTTGTTTTGTCTTATTAATACCGCGATGTCCGTTGCCATGTTTAAACAGATAGCAACTAATTCTCAAAGTGGTTTCTACTTAATAAGGCTGAACTGTACCACATTTACTTAAACGATTTTGCAAAAGAAACTTTACGATTAAACCAAAACTACATGTTTCGATCAATGTGGTGGTTTTTTAGTTGTTTCCATTTAAAAGCGGCGGGAGAGGTCAATAATAATACGTTCGTATAAAAAGCTCAGTTCTACACAAAAAGCTCTTTATTTAACATTACCACCCACATGTAAAACACAGTAAAAGAATCGCATTTTAATTGCGTCCGTGCGATACGGAGTTGAAAATTAATCGTTTAATTTGAAGTCGACTGAGCGTGGGAGCTTGTAATACCTATTGTTACTTGAATTCGCAAAAACTTAAATATTGCCCTTTTTAAAATTAACAAATTTTGTGGATTTCTAATTTTGTAAAAAAAAATCAAATTTCCACGTTTATAATGAAAATTCCACACGTTAGATCAGGTTATCTTAATTAAGTATTCCTTCGGTACCTATTTTCTTTTTTTTGTCCATATGAAACTGTTCAAGATAATATACTAACAGATTTTACTTAAATTAAATAAATTAGCGAGCACATAATCTTTCACTTTAATATAGATGTATCAGCATTGCTATTTCTTTGTCTATACCTGGTCGTTGTCATAGACCCATATATAGACAGTTCAGTAATCATCCAACTATTCATAACTGAAATCCAGTATGTTAGTCTTTATGCATCTGATATATTTAATCTATGGAACGGACCGATTACGCGCGTAATTTGTACTTTCTTTTCCGTCCTTTGTTCGGTGATTTACGGATCTCAGATTACTTTATTGATTGCGAACTCCTGGGCCTCACCTGCTAATAACTTGTATGTGGTTTTAAGTGCGTTTAATGTAAAGAATGAATAATAAGCTCTGAACAATTTGATTTATCGGGTTTTAACGTTATCTAAATAAATCATTTGGTGCGTGCGCGCCTTTCCAATTTTTTTTGGTATAATTCTTAAACTATTTTCAGTATTGCAAGACATGATATATTAGGCAACAAATTTAAAGTTGAACAGAGTTATTAAAAATAAATAAAATTCTATCGGTCGTATAACAACGATATTTTAATAAAATATCTATGTAAGGAATCATGATATGTAGGTACATTACCTACCCTATCACATTGCATATATGTCACTTGTTTTTACATCTTCACATATTTCCAGAGATTGTCGGAATGAGAAATAAATACCTAAAGCCCCGTCTATTGTACCATAGCTCATAGATTTTCATTTTCAGCTCAATTAAACGTAAACCGATATTGATTAGCGTTTTTTATTACTGCTTATTCATTAACTGTTTCCGATTATCAGGCATGTCGATATTTTAACGATCTATTCAAAAGCGACTCGATTTTTAATTACATACATCTCGATTGACTTTAATTTACTGATTAAGGAACATTATTCCTTTATTGGAGAAAAGTTGCACGGAATTAAAAACGAATAATCGATTTTTATGGATTGCGCCGCGATGCGAATCGAATATTTATCGATTCTCTGGAAATTCGGGAGGCTTATAAATAAATTGGGGATAAAGTGTCTTAATATGTGTATCGGAATTTTCATTGCTGTTTTTAGTGTTTAATACGGTTGGGAAATTTGAGGTCATTATTTGAGTTCCAAGCGTATTTTGCTTCTTAAAAAGGAAGCCGAATCGATTTAGGTACTAAATAAGACAGTTGACGAAGAAATAAATTATGAAACAAACGATGAATTGATAAATAAATCCCAGTAGTTATATGGTATAATTATGCACTAAGATTATATAATGGAAATTGTTCTGTTTGGTGGTGTCCACTTATGCTGTACATAGCTACAGTTATCTAGTAGATGAAATTTTACACGTCTAACTTTAAATTCACGAACATTCAACTGCTACCGTGGTCCAGTAAAATACTAGATACTAAATGGAGCTTACAGCTGTATTTTGTTGAAGTATTGCAGAAAAATATTAAAATTCATAAATTAAATAATAGGTTCGATCGCATAATAAAATATCCTGTCATAATATTGTTATTAATACCCTCGTTACTTCGCTCAAAAACTAGTATTAAGACTGTTCCTTTAGTCTATTCCATAGATATCATTAATATTTAGAGAAATTATATGCATATTATGGCCTATTTCTTCGTCAGTTATAACCAGTAATATGAACTCTGTGAAAGATAAAAGACGCTGGCACGTAAATTTTATCTTTTTTTTTTTAGATCTGTGGTCTTTTAAAAAAAAAAATTGTTTTTTCATAAATCATTTATTAATTTTATTTTTAAGAGCAGATCTCGACTGTAAATTTTCTGTAAAAGTCACTCTGAAAACAATATTTAACAACAATTAAAGTCAATTTGTTTTTTTTTAATGATGACCAGATATTATTTTAATTGGTAATTAAAGAGTTGTATGAACTATGGTAATAACTTTAATTATAAAGAAATATTCGGACATAATGGCCAAACCTGTAAAGTCTAGCTTTTTTAGTCATAATAATTAGATTAACGTGATTTTCATTTATGAAGAATGTATATAAATATTTATTTTTACGTACTTAAACTTTGACACATTTTTTGTCGTTTTCGACTAAATTCAAAATGCTTAATGTATAAATTCTATTTTTAATTTATTGTATTGTTTTTTCTAAGAAACTAAAATATCCGCAAACTAAAATATTATATCAATAAAATCGTTCCTTATCGGTTTTTCTGCCATAGAATTGTAAATAAACTAGATTATGTGTACATTAATTGTATATATGTGTGTTAGTCGTGTATGTGTGTATATCACGAACCGGATTCAGTTTATCATAGTTATTTAATGAACGAGTGATACAAAATATATGTTTTTACTCATTTATTTATGTGTTTTTATCCCAACCTTATATTTAAAATCCCAGGATCACAACCATATTTATTGAATAAACAAAAGCATATACGATAAAGCCACCTAATGAATGTAGGGCTCATATATTTCTGGATATGTAACTGAGGTCCAGCAGCTCCACAATCCTAAATAGGTCTTGGTTTCAGATTGCATCCGTTTCTTTAATAATTTTAATTTCATAGACAAACTTGATCACCTGGATCAGCCTTTTATGACACGTCCTCGATTTTTGGATTTGAGACATACCGGTTTCCTCACGATGTTTTCTTTCACCGTTCGAGCGAGTGTTAGGCCGAGGATCGAACCTATGACCTTAGGGATGAGAGTCGCACTAAAACCACTAGGCCAACATTGCTGCCAATTGCTCATTTACTTTACCCAATGACGAAGACGAAACTGATGACGTACCTCATCAGTTTCGCTATTAACCACGAAATTCAGAACAAAACGCTTAAACAAAGTAAGGCTTTCATCAAGTATTTATTATTAGGCGTAACTAACCCACTATATACATATACCTACCACAGATTCTTGCAGTTGACTTAAATTTTAAAACGAACAGAAAGAAGGAACCAATGAATTGTTTTCATCTTTAGGGCAAGCACCTAAGCCTTAGAGCTTAAAAGCCAGACATCATAATAACACGTTACTACAGTAGTTTAACCTCTGACGGAAAAACAGGTGTTATCACTTATCAGTGCATTTGCTTGCCTTTCTGTAGTATCGTAGCTCCAAAACAAATGGGCTGATTAGAAGTATATTGTTAGAATGACTGAGATAGTTAGCTACAATATGAAGATATGTTTTTTTTAAATAACGGCAGACATTTTTACGTGGGTATTTGCTTTATTGTTACCTAACATTTCAAGGCCGGCAACGCACTCGCGGCTCTCTGTCACTGAGAGTGTCCATGGGTATGGATGATCTTAAGGGATGTATCTTAACATCACGGGAGCCTTCTGCCCGTTTGCCCCCTGTTCTATAAAAAAAACTAGTATG